GTACAATATTTGTGATGACTGCTACGGCTTTCTGATTCGATGGGATTTTCACCAACCTTGTGCTCTGAATTCGGGGCGCACTGGATCTGTCTTGGCTAAGTCTCCGCAACGTCGATGGCGCATTCCTCCGATTATCAGACGACATCGAGGCACATTCATCAGCTACTGAACATGATCCGGCCATCGAGCTACACTCTGAAACCAAAGATTCTGCATAAGCGCACTCAATGAACAATATAACGCTCGGGCTATCGCCCTTGCAGTGTTCCAACTTTACGATGGAACGCTCCTCAGGGCAAAAAACTAGCGAGTGCAGACGAGAATAAATAATCGTGCAAAAACGTGAGTGATGGATATCAGGTAAGTGCAACGGGCTATCTGCAGCTCGGGAGTATCTATCGAAATACTGGGTTGGCTCATAAGTAATCGAGTTTTTTTTCTCACACAAATTTTTATATGGAAAATGACAATTGTTCCCAATGTGTTCTACACAGTTTGGTAGACAATTTTCCGCTCTATTATTTAAGAGCCTTCCTGCGTTTCCTGATCTGTCGGCGACATAAAAGTGAGTTCTCCACAACAACTATTTCCACTTTATTTCGGCTCTCAAATTACACCAAATTACAGGAGAAGCCCGAAACATGTGATGTGTATGATCAAAGAAAGATGCGTCATTTGACAGCTCAATTGGTTCAGGAAAGTAAGAGATGAGAATTCGGACCTTATAAGAGAGCAACGTGTGGGACCTTTGAGGACCTTTGGGAAGGGACTGCCTGCAGAACCTACCCACTTATTTTCCGAACGTCTAACATCAGCTGAGGGATGGTGGTTGATGATGATAAGGAGGCATTCCATGACCTCTAACGAGTCCTCAATTTTGCATGAGTCTCCCTCCTGTAACTCTCAGTGTTACGCAGGGCATTAGGTTCGATGCTTGTCTGTTAAGTCGAAAGTGGAAATCTCCTAATCACGGCACTGTCCAACTATTACTACCCCAACCTTCTGAAAACGGGCCGAATCCTAAACGACTTTTTTGCCCTATGTGCGCATGAATTATTGGACTGAAAGCTGGTTTCGCAGAGAATAGTCGACGCTCCTGAACACGAATACCCAATCGTCGCTGCTCCGAAACTGCATGGCGCCCACCGCCACCAGACGCGGACACCAAAGTATTGTGGCGCGGACGCAAAGGCATTTTGCAGTGCACAAGTGTTTGTTGTGGTAGTTCACGATGTCAATGCTCTAACACCCAAATTTTTCAGCCAAATCTGCCCCGTGGAAAAAGTTCGATCAAGAACCGGCCCGTTTTCGCAAAATTGGGGTAGTAATAGTTGAATAGTGCCCGAATTACTTAAAACTATGAGCATTTCTAAGAGACATAGCCTTGGGAATATACTTAGCAACTGGGCCTGTGCAGTTTTCTACGCTTTATCAAATTAGATGCGTGAAAGAAAAAGAGGCTGTCAAAAATGCTCAATTTCGTTGACCTGACATTCCAGTTTGAGCACTTCAATACTAGTAGGGAACAAAAACTCCAAGAAAACTAAGAGGACTATCGTATAGGGCAAGGAATTCTCTGCAAAACAGTATGAAACTCAGTAGCAAAACTTTCCATCTTTAGCGCTATATTTCGAGTGAGAAAAAAACGCTATTATGGGCAGACCCAATAGTATCAGGTCGGCACTTACTTATCTGTGATTCTTAGCGCGCACAAGAAATGACTGCTATTAAGCATGAAAAAAAGGTGGGCGCAGTTCAGCGACGGGGGGAGGGGGCGGATGGGGAAGCACCTTGCACTTTCGCTGCTTCTCATGACGTGTCAAGCCATCAAGCAGAGGTGTGGGAAATTTCGGCGAGCCATCAAGTGATACCGGTCAATATTTGTAGAAACTACTTGTGAACTCCTCCTGTAGAGCAATGAACACGACAACGTGAAGCGAAAGTACAAAATCCCCCCTCCCCCAAAACTGCGCCAAATGGTGCTTCACTTTCCATGTTTTATGAAACCATTATCCATTGTCTTGTTTATTGAGATGCAGAATAATCACAGAGACATATTTTTGCTAAATTCGATGCCTTTTTACAAATATTACTTAAAAAAACCGCGGAAGTTATTCACCAAGCAATAGATTTTCATTCAAAATTGAGCTAACTCATAAGAGGCTGCAGACTGTTCGACTTATCCAACCTTAGAGCAAAAAATTCCGTCGAGTAGCAGAAGCAAAATGTAGTTTTTGACGAAGTTTCGGAGTCAAAAGTAAGTTTACGAAAACAGACGGAATACAGTACCCGGAATCGCGCGTAAAATTGAAAGCGTAGGAGCACCGAAAGCACACATTACCACTTGATTGCCGCCTAAGCAGCACACGGCTACTTTTGAGAGCGGAAACGGTCGCTTTCGCTTCTTGGCCTCACTCAGAGCCTCTACTATGATGGCAGAGGAGGACGGTCCAGAAAAATTAACAAAAACAAGATCAGAAAGGCAACTCCATAGTAACGCAGAGAGTGGAGAGCAATCACTACGTTTTATTGTGCAGAAAATAAGAATATGAAAACGCATGACCGAGCTCATGTTCGCACTGGCAGTAACTGGTAATTTGGGCTAACAGGGCAATACAACAGCGGTCACATAATACAAACTAAATCAATGAAAAACGTAAAGAAAACGTACCGGGAGCGTCAGCATTTGGTTGTGCTCGCAATTTTACAAACGAGCCGGCTACGTCTTCTTCCTCTTCCTCTTCTACATCTGATGCTTTTAGATATGGATTCAATGAACTGTCTTCAATGGTATCAACTCCACCGATAAAAGGCCTGCAATACGAATTTGATCAGTAAATATCCAATTCAGATCGATCACGTTCCCTGAACTGGACCAATCAGTCCTTACTGCATCCTATGTAGATGATCTTAACAGACTGGGTCAAGCACTTCGCATTCAGGACACTTTTATCCGTCAATAAGCGAAAAGGAATGGGCAAAAGTAGCTGGGGGCAAACAAAGCCCCGGGAGGGTCCACTCATCAACGAGGACTAGCCACGTCATGTTCTCACACGACAAACCCACGCTGAGCTGCCTGTGAGGAGGGTGCAAGAGGAAGTATTTCTGACGCTGACTAAGCCATGCTAATACATGTCATGCTGCCTCAGCGAGAGGGTGCAGACGATCAGGGATGACGTGGCTTAGCTCCGCTAAAGAGTGGGCTCCCAAGACACGCGCCAGAGGTGCCATGTAGCGGTGTCTCTACGTCACTTCACACCATATTTACAACGAAGAAGGCACGCAGCCCTAGCATGCTGCAGAATTTCAATATTGAAGCCATTTAACGGGAGCACTTTAAATTGATCATTAAACTTCAAAGTTACCGCTCCAAACTATCTTTATAACAACTTTTTTTCACCCTACTGGAGGTTTTCTCGCAGTCAGTATAGAAGTTTTCCGTGATTCTATCAGCAGTTTCCAAACACTGCGAGAATGTCGCTCTATCAGGGTACGCTACCGGAGGGCAACTAGATTCCATCGTCCTAATTTGTCGCAAACCACCAATTTGTTTTTCAAGAAAATTTCAGTGTATTTCTCCTCAAACGCTTTAATCAGGTAGAAGGGTAATGAACGTGGGGGTAAGTCAAGGAGTATAGAGAACTCTAATATCAGACATCTCGGAACAGTGACTGCATAGGCAATTTCTGGCTATGCTATAACCTATGTGGGAGCGAGGGGGGGGTACGGGCAATGAACATTCCTGAGACCACGTTTACTACCTGCTCTCCCTTCCAGCGAAAACATACGTCCACCCCCCCCGCAGGAGAGTCCCGGGTCGTGCGTCGTCGCCCTGTCCAGTATAAGTGAGACAGCCGGACCGATCCACTGCATTATTACCCATGGATTTCACGGCAAATACAGGCGAACGGTCTGATCGGGATTTTTAAGTCGGGAAGGATACTCTCAAGCAAATGCCAGCTCAACAAGCGAGGAAGTATCACGTAAAAAACGGATGCATTAACAACATTTACTAGCATAAAAACAGAATAAAACAAGTTATATTCAATTAAGGAAAGAAATAACTTACACTCTAAAGAATGGGTCAGCGCTTTGATGTGTCATTGTGATCTTGATTTGAACTTTCGAATTATCCTGCCGTTGATGTAACCCGTAGCCGTCTAATAGATAGGAACGTGTCATACCTGAACAAATAATTCTCTTCAATTCAAATATCGTCTATTTCGCTGTTTATGATGGGGCGTGTCAAGGGTAACGGGTTTAGCGCCTAATCATTTTTCCCCCTTTTCTTTCAGTAAGCGGTAAGACGGTATCATATCGTTCCTGTCACCCTTTTTCCAACAGTTAATGTCGCTTATCCGCTTCAAAACGTAAGGGAAACGGCTTAGTGCGCGCCGCGAACGCCTTTCTTCATGCACAGCGCCGCCTTGCTCCGAAGCGAACCAACTATGAGTACCGCGTTGTTAATACTTATAATAATAAACAGTCTTTCTATGCTAATTTCTAGGATGATGTAGCAAAAAACTGCTGCGCGCGCCTACTGTTGATGGAGTGAGAAGGCATCCACAAGCAAAAAAAAAACACCAACGCTCACCATAAATGGCATTTCGTGCTAGAGTAGCGCTGGCATAATTCGTCCAAAAACTATCTGGTTCTAGAGTAAGAATTTACCAGTATACCGGAGCCATCCAAAGGCCACTGAAAAGAGCAATAACAAACATTTGTGGCATAATGGGGATTCGTGCACTGTCGCGCATTTCACATACAGGTGCTCGTCGGTACAAATCTAGTTCTCTGATTCGTGTTACCCGCCCTGCACCCACTTCTTCCTCTCCCCCACCCCCAAAAAAACACGAAATCACGCCTACATTTAGGAATCCTGCCGAGAAATGTTTCATGTGGCTCTCAGCGCGCTTTTTTGCTCTGTTAATGCCTCTCTGCACTTTACCAAATCAACTCTTGGCTGGCTCATCTGGGAATCGCTCGAACAAATTAGCGTGCGGATTGCATATGGAAGGCCGAAAATCGACGTGAAATCCAACCAGTTCTCTCCAAAACCCTTGATATGCTCGATGCTAATGGTTGAGTCAAATGTGCACCCTTGAAAGATTTATCGAAAGCCTCTAGGTTCGCTTTTGAAAAAAAAATTATAGCCCCGGGTACTTTCAAAGGAGTAGCAATTAAAGCGGTTGGATCAATTCACGAAAGGTCTTCGATGACATTACGGAAAACTAATACGCGGGCAGTTTACGAAGCACGCAATCCTCAAACATAGTCCCCACGCTCAACCAATCCGTAGCCGTCCTTCCTTGCTCAAGCAGGCTGGTCCGCGTTTTCTGAAACTGTCCCACTTTCGCAGCTTCACAGTAAATAACGAAGGCGCCGGCGGATCTCATAAGGGGTAGGTCTGACGCCTCTCCAGTCGTCCCGCCTATCGAAACCCAATGGCTGCTTTCTGTCACAAACGCAGTTTTTACCGTTTTTTTTTCTTTTCACGTCTTTAGATGGTCTTAGCATATAACGTGACGTGGGGAAAAAAACTGCTGAGTCATGGACGGCAGGATTCCCTTTGCTGGCATAACACGAGCAGGTCCGGAGAACTCGTACAGTGGGGCTGCTAGGGGGGGGGGGGTCTTAGGGTGTTTTCCATGATTCTTTTTCGCTTTTTCCTTTTCTTGAGAGTCAAAAGCGACAATAGATTTGTAACTGAACGCACTGATCACAATATACGATTGCGGGGTTTGTCTTAAAAGCAGTTGGATCAACTCATGAGAGGTCTCCCATAAAAGTGAAAAGCTAGTATACGGGCAGAGGAGGGGAAAGGAGCTATATGTAGCAGCAAAAGAGGGAGCTTAAAACGTTTGCAAATCCTTGAGATGAGTTCTGGCTTAGTCCATCATGGCCTCATACTACCACATAGACAGGTCTGTTGACCACCTGCCACACTTGGCGCCAGGAGAATCGAAGAACGGGAGGAT